GAGATTTATGCTTAAGATAGGTTCAAACACACACAGAGAGATTAACATCATCACCCTGTTGCCTTCAAAATGTTTTACTTCCTCTTTGAATTACAACAGAAGTTCACCACTTGTCAAATGGGTTCAGTCTCTGATCAAATAAAGTGACCCAAAGCTCTAAACCTGACCATCAGCCTCGAGTGGACATCTGACATTCCCCAACAAACTGTCACATATCAGATGACATCACTGCCAAAGATGCAGCTATCTGACTCCGAGCCGCTGCAGCAGAGGCCTGTGAGGAAGAATGTGTGATGGGAACAGTCTAATTTTAACTTTATTGTTCCGTAGTGAGTAGTGAAACTTATCTACCAAGAGAAAAGCCGGTAGTTTATTCTCATAATCTAGAAAACAGTTCAAACTGACTCAAACTCTGTACATTCAGGATTTAAAACATATCAGAAATCTCATTCAAGGATGTTTTAGTCCGTAAGTTCAAACATCAGTATGAAGACTTCCGTTACCTTTTTTCCCCGTCTTCCTGCATATTCTCATCCTTGGAAATGAAGGCCAGGAGTAGTTGAAAGGAGAGTCTGAGTCAGAATCCATGACGTTTGATCTTCAAAAGAAAATCTTCATCCAAACAGCTTAAACTGTCCAGAACCGGAATGAGCGGAGCCTCATTTTACATCCCACATGGCCGAACGGAGTCCAGACGAGCTGCACAGCTTATTACTTTTGTTTTTCCAGAGCCTCTGACACTTCAAGAGTGAGCCAGCATGTTCCCCTGTCTCTCCCCTAAACCACCCCTCCCCCTAAAATCCTTGCCTTCCCCCCTCCTCGACCATCCAAAAGAGCTGCCTTTGCAGCCTCTTTTTTCCTTCTAAATTTCTCCTCTTTTTCTACCACTTACTCCTGTCCTTCTGACGTCCTCTTTTCAAAACAGAGTCAACTTTTGGTCTCCCTTCGTCTCCCTCAGTCACTCCATCTCCCACACTCAAAACTGAGCGGGTGGGAGAGATATCAACACATGCTGACAGGAGCAATGGGGGGAGGAGGAGGAGGAGGTTACTGACTGCCGGAAAGAGTGACTGAGAGGAGAGAAGCAGGGAAAGATCAAGTCGAGCATAGGAGCGACTTCTGAATCTGCAGCGAGGACAAGCACAGAGGCAGAGGTGAGTTTCAAACAAGAGGAATCATTTGAGATCATCAGAGGGATGCCACTCTGCTCCACCTCCACAAGCCAGCAGAAGAGTCCAACCCTGCCACATGTGAAGAGTTCTCACTCAGTCCTTTCTCTCATTCATTATATTTGAACATGTCAAAGCTAAGCTGAGAGGGGAAAGAGGGTGAGGTTGTGGGGGGTGGCAGACTGCCAGGTCAGCAGCCTCACCATGGAGACAGCCGTGAGAGCTGCTGCTGTTTTCTTTTTTTCTTCCATGTTGTTCCTTTCCTATTTTTTTTTTTTTTTTTTTTTTAAACCAACCTGCAGGAGTACAGTACACTACTCTATTCGCAGCAGCGTGGATAAAACTCAGCGGACAAGGTAGCAAAGAGAGTTTAAGAGACGAATCGAACTTTGGCATTGCACAAAGAAGGCCAAACATGTTCATAAATGCACATAAATTTAGGAATGTTATAAATAAAAGAGATGAAAATAGGATGAGACGGCTTTTGTATGGAGAATATACGCCGAGAAAAGAAAGAGCCACACTGTGACTGTAGGAAAAGGTTTTAGGGCATGGAGAGCTGGTGGAGGATGTTGGCACTGTACGAGTGAACATTAATGCCTTTGTGGGGTCTGTGTGAGGTTTAATCCTATTTTCCATTCTCCAATTAGATCCCTCACTCAGGGTCTCGGGGGGCTCTTGTTGTGGTGTTGCATTTATCGTTTCTTGTCGCCCTGCCAAACTATCCATATCATAAATCCCGTTTCTCTCGCTCCGTCTCTTTTCCACCGTTACATGCGTGGTTTTTAACACTCCTCCACTCTTCTCTCCTGGGGGATCTCAACAGGCAGCAGGAAAACTGCATTCAGCAAAGCCCTGGCAACCCCCCATTCAGACACAAACGCCCCCTTTTTAAACTCCCCTTTACTCTTCGCCCCCCCTTTAAAGTATTTATCCCTTCAGCATTCTTTCTCTCAAATGAATGCACACACACTAAAAACACTTTCACTTACAGCGGCCTTCTGTCTTTCTGCAGCTGAGCTGAGCAGAAGAAGTAGCTTTTGGTATTTGCTCACCAAAGTCACAATAAAACGCAGACCTGGAAGAATGGTGACGGGGTGCCTGGGTGTGCATGTGTACTTATTTGGGTGCAAGCGTGATTTGTGGGTGGAGTATTTTAATATTGGGGCAATATGTGGGCAAAATGGGAGGGAAAGGAGGTCTAGACATATATATAAAATTTCAATAAATCCTCCATGGGGGATTGCATTTGCTATATCCATAAAGTTTCAGTAAATTGAACTGGAGAAAGGAAGGATGACATCAAGCAGACAGGGGGAACATGACGAGTACGTTCGAAATTCCACATCCCTTGCCGAGACCCCCAGCTACACAAGTTGTGTCTGTCTATCCGATGACGCAGAAGTTGGAGTTAAACAGCCATACTGCATGTGTTAACAAACAGACGGACTTTAGATATGAGCGCCTTTACTTCACGGAAAATGGAAAAACCTGCTGGTCACTCACTCGTGATGCCTGGCAGCTCTGGAATGTCTAATGAAGAGTTTAAAGTCTTCCAGGGTCAAATGTGCGTCATTATTCATGCATAAAACCTGAGTCACTCCCAGTCGCAACTGTCATTTACAGACACAATTCTGAAAATGCCGTGACGTTATGGAAAAGGTAAATAAAAACAGAATGCAATGAATTTGTAAATTATGAAGCCATATTTTAGACCCAAAGGTACATAGTAAACATATCAAAAGTTTAAATTAAGAAATGGGACTTTTATGAATTTGATGGCAGCAACACAGCACAAAAAAGACAAGACAGAGCCATGTTTACCATGTGAAGACGGTTGTGAAGACGGTTGTGAAGATGGGAAGATTTGAGTTTCAGTTTAACTTTGTTTATTCTTTTATTATACTGCGTTCAATAAAGTTATATATATATAAATATTAAAACAAAAGCAAGCAGAAAAAAAGGAACAGAAGTAAAGTATATTTACACGTTCAAAGGAGTGGGTAGAAGTATAAACTTACTGTTACACCCACCCCTCTTACAGCATCATCCAATAATTTACTATTCATGGTAACTTGTTTATAACATTCTTTTTTAGTTAGTAATTTATATATACATATCTATAACTGATACAATGCATTCATTTTTGCATGCCATTACGATCAAGCATCAATAATTTTTAACATGTTAAAATGTTTTCTAGATCAATATACCATAATGCAGTAATAACTGAAAAATTCATTAATTAACATTGATAATAGCAGTAATAACAGTCATTATTTCCCATATTGATATGCAGTAATGATCATCTTTTTAAATGATGTTTTAAATTTACATATTTTATATTTATATATTTGATATATGGGATCGTCAAGGCCTTCCCAGTTTTTTGTTGAGAAAAGTTATTCTGAAACTGTTCCACAATTTTAGACAGTTTTTTGGTGAACCTCTTCCCATCTTTATTCTGAGCAATTCAGCCTCGTTAAAATGTTCTTTTTATAACCAGTCATCTTGCTGAATTGTTGCCAATCAACCTAATTAGTTGCAAAATGTTCCTCCAGCTGTTTCGTATTATTTTTATGGTCCTTGCCTTGTCTTTTTTGTTGTTGCTGCTGAAAATGGAACAACTTCTTCAGTATGTTCCATTGCAAACAAAACAGGTTTATGAAATTGGCAAATTATTGCATTCTACTTTATTCGCATCTTATCAAATGTCTCAACTTTTTGGGAATTAGAGCTGTAGTTTAAATAATTCTGACGGTTTTATTTTATTTAAAAAATTTAAAGGGGTTAAATAAGGCCACGGGGGGAGGTAAATAGTGAACGGACTGCACTTACCGTATGTATCGCCTTCTATCTAATCAAGGTACTCAAAGAACTTTACAGCACAATCTGTGCCCTCATTTACCCATTCATACAGTAATCTGCTATATCTCTACAAAGCTAATGTGAATCTGTAGAGACTCATCAGTGCTTTACATTCATACACCGATGGGACACACATCGGAGGCAATGAGGGGTTCAGTGTCTTGCCCAGGGATAATTCAGCATGTGACTGCTGGTGGAATTGAACCCCCAACTTTCCCACTGGAGGATGACTGGTCTAACAACTCAGCCACAGGGAGGGTTATTAAATACTAAACAAAAAATATGCTAATTCTGTAAAAAGTACACACTGAGTACACATTTTATCAGAGGAAACTACACCGCTCACTGAGCATTGGGATTAAAAGATGTCCGGTGCCAAGTACTATTAAGCCTGAACTTGTAACCACAACATTCTTACACCAAAGCATCAGTCTTCCCTGCAGCAGTGCAGGCCAATCATTAATCAACAGGATGTTTCCACTCTCAGAAATTTTCAGTCTATGGTCCAGAAACTGATCAGAGCAAAGCCACATTCAGGCTTAATCTCATTCTTCTGTCACTCCTGGCAGAAACTGGAGGACTCTGGGTTTTTCTCAGCGTGTCACGAAAGATTTCTCTTTGGTGAAACAAAAACTGTAAACACAGAGTGACAAGAGTCCAAGAACTCCAGATGAGGGTTGGGGGTTAAGACAGGTCAGGGGCTTGAAATGTGATCTTACAGTCAGCTGGGATTGCAGTCAGACATGGTTGAGAATCAATGTTGAGTCTTAAGTTTTGCTCAGGAAAGAAAATGTTTCCTCATTTAATGACACGCACACACACACACACAAAACCTGCTCCTTGAATAACCTGATCTGAATAAAACACCACCTAAAACAACAACGATCACTTTCAGTCAGCTCTAAAATTAAAAGCCACATCTACAAACAGTCCTGCACAGAAAGTAAATCTTAAAATATTTACCACAGTCAGACCGCGATGAGTCGTCCTCCGCGTCGTCCTCATTCAGAATAAACATCAGCGGCTCCTCGCAGTCCTCGGAGAAGAAACTGGGAACCTTTCGGAGAACGGCATTCACATCATCAGAGTGAAACATTTTGCTTCAAGCATATCAGACGACAAGTAGAACTAAGTAGAAAAACACACGTGTTCGCTACTGGGGCGCGTGAGACAGATCAATTAGTTAACCATCTGTATCACATAAAACGGATTCTATTGGATGGCCGGAGTCATGTGCCACACCTGTCAAAACATTAAACACACATTCAGCTGCTCACAGAGTCAGCTATTCTTCGCTGTGAGCAAGGTGCCAACTCCAACACCTGAACAATGAGAGTCAAAACAATACAGAGCATTGAGCTCCTGTTCAAAACAAAACTGTAGTTTTCAACATGCTGGTCCAGAAGTTCATCAAACAAGACATTTAAAGACCTAGCATTCCACCACCTTTAATGCCAGAGAAATAACATAATTGTAGCTGTTTTGGTCAAACCTTTAAAGAATAACTACAAAACATAACTACATTTTAGCTCAGTACCAGTAAAATTAACTGAGTTATAGCCATTTTTGTAGATTAGCTCATTTTGAATCAAATGGACTCCAAAAGTTCATCAGCTGTAGATGGACATCCAGTGATGGCTGACAGACACTTAAACACAAACAGACATGGACAGAAACATAATAAATATTAAATTCAGCTCATTTTTACTATCCTACGTTTAATACTCACGTTGTCTTCAGCAAAGTTTTCTCCATTTATGTCAGAATAGGGTGCTGAAAGAGGAGAAGGCAAAGTCATATGAGGCCAAGCAGCAGCTATTAAACTTCAAAAGAGACTCCATGAGTGCAGATGGAAGTCAGTTTTTCACGATTCATAGTCTTTTCTTTTAATAATCTCGGAGGACTTTTACTGTGCATTATTTATATACACAAGTGCTGGTCATAAAATTAGAATATCATGAAAAAGTGGATTTATTTCAGTAATTCCATCCAAAAAGTGAAACTTGTATATTATATTCAGGTCTCTCTTGTAAATGAGTCCTCGAGGCTCAATGGGATTTACCTGTATAAATAAAGGTTGATTGATATTCATTCATTACACACAGACTAGTATAATTCAAATGTTTATTTCTTTTAATGTTGATGATTATAACTGACAACTAATGAAAGCCCCAAATTCAGTATCTCAGAAAATTAGAATATTACTTAAGACCAATTTAAAAAAATGATTTTTAGAAATGTTGGCCAACTGAAAAGTACAAACATGAAAAGTATGAGCATGTACAGCACTCAGTACTTAGTTGTGGCTCCTTTTGCCTGGATTACTGCAGCAATGTGGCATGGAGTCGATCAGTCTGTGGCACTGCTCAGGTGTTATGAGAGCCCAGGTTGCTCCGATAGAGGCCTTCAGCTCTTCTGAATTGTTGGATCTGGTGTATCACATCTTCCTCTTCACAATACTCCATAGATTTTCTATGGGTTTAAGGTCAAATGAGTTTGCTGGCCAATTAAGAACAGGGATATCATGGTTCTTAAACCAGGTACTGGTAACTTTGGCACTGTGGGCAGGTACTAAGTCCTGTTGGAAAATGAAATCTGCATATCCATAAAGTTGGTCAGCAGCAGGAAGCATGAAGTGCTCTAAAACTTCCTGGTAGACGGCTGCGTTGACCTTGGACCTCAGAAAACACAGTGGATCAACACCATCAGATGACATGGCACCCCAAACCATCACTGACTGTGGAAACTTGACACTGGACCTCAAGCAACATGGATTCTGTGCCTCTCCTCTCTTCCTCCAGGCTCTGGGACCTTGATTTCCAAATGAAATTCAAAATTTACTTTCATCAGAGAACATAACTTTGGACCACTCAGCAGCAGTCCCAGGTGAGACATTTCTGACACTGTCTCTTGTTCAAAAGTGGTTTAACACAAGAAATGCAACAGCTGGAACCCATGTCTTGCATATGTCTGTGCGTGGTGGTTCTTGAAGCACTGACTCCAGCTGCAGTCCACTCTTTGTGAATCTCCCCCACATTCTGGAATGGGTTTTGTTTCACCATCCTCTCCAGGGTGCAGTTATCCCTATTGCTTGAACACTTTTTTCGACCACATCGTTTCCTTCCCTTCGCCTCTCTATTAATGTGCTTGGACACATATACATACATATAAATATACATATACATATACATATACATATACATATACATATACATATATATA